GATGCTGATCACGAATACAGCGCTACGGGCGGTCTCATGTCGCTGCTGCCGACAGACGCGCGGCGATTCGGAGATGCTCCAGGCGGCACGCAACACGCTGCTGGGCCAGTGGCTCGTCTTCAACCAGCACTCGTCGGGCGCATGCACGAGCTCGAGATTGCGTACGGCAACTCGCTCGACGCACTGCGTGGAGAAGCCGTTGTCCCGATGCAGAACCTCTCCATGATGGCGCCCCGTGGCGCGGGCGCGTCGTCAGGGGCGAGCAGCTATGGGCGCGAGATTGCGTATCCGCAGGACCGGTGGATCCTCTGCAACGCGGGCGACGACGTGTTTGAATACGTGCACAAGGTGCTCGACCGGCAAGAGGCGCTGATCGAACCGCGAGAGAGGGCGTGGCGGGAGCACGGGGTCACGGGAGAGCGAATGTGGCAGGAGCGGCGGGGCGGGGAGCAGCACGACGCGGGCCTCGTGGTGTGGGATGTCAAGACACGGTACATCCGGCTCCGGGGCAAGGCGCGGTCGCCCATCTTTGTGATTCCGGCACACGGCGAGCACCCGGGGGTGGCGGAGACGCGGCGTCTCGAGGCGGCGCCGGGGGTGGTGTCGGTGGTGACGCCGACGTGGCCGGCGCGGGTGTCGGACTGGGAGCAAAAGTTCCGGGACGCGCTGCACGACGGCAAGAAGCGGTCGATTGCCAACTTTGAGCTGCGGGCGGAGAACGACAAGCTGCGCGAGAAGACGTCGCTGCTGGAAAAAGAGTGGCAGAAGCTGCAGCAGACGACGGCGCGGTACGAGCAGTACTACTCGGGCGCCAAGACGGAGAGCGAGGTGAAGGCGGTCGAGGTGAGGATGCAACGTATGCACGACGACTTTATCAAGCTGCGCAGCGAAAGGGATGCGACGGTGGAGAGGGCATCGGCGACGACGGCGATGGTGAGGCGGATTATGCAGAAACTCGAGAAGGAGATGCCGGCGAAGTATACTGAGCTCATGAAGGCTTTCCCGGTGGGCGAGGAGGAGCAGGAGGGAGAGGACGAGGGTGAGGAGGTAGGGAAACAGAAGCGGGCCAAGCAGGCCAAGTCAAAGGTGGATATCGCCGAGTTGCATCCTGGCGACTCGGACTCGGAAGGCGTAGGCAGTGTCTAGGAGCAGGAGCAGGAGAAGATGGTTGGTACGCAGGCGTTGAAGTGAGGAGGGTTGTCTGTCGTTGTCACGGGATGCTCATTCTGGTGTTTTGGACGGGAGGTAGCTAGGTAGCCACAGAAGGTAGGTAGGCAGGCAGTTTTCGTACGTTGCTTTTCCCGAGACGAGACTCGAGAGCTGTGACTGTGGCTGTGGCTGTGATGCCTCGCTTATCATGTCGAACGTGTGCTGCCATGCAGTGAGTGCAGGGTGCTGTCCATGTTCCACGAGGGTTGAAGGAAGGATGGGCTGGGGGGGAGCACATGTCAGACAATGGTGATGGATGCGATGAGAAAGACACGGGTACCTACAAGGCAGGTAAGAAGGTAGGTACATGGTGGCAGGTTGGCTGGAAGCAGCTCCCGAAAACGGGGCCAGAAAATGAGCTGCGATAAGCTCTCTGCCTGCAGCGGGGTCGCAGCCAATGGAAAATTTCTGATAAAGCTCAGGTGGGTCCGTCGCCAGGTCAACTGGACAATGAGAAGCACCTGCCACAGGGCGGGCGACACATCCCACAACAAAACAATGGGGGCCCTGTATCCTGAATCCTGAATTGCCTGTCTTCAACCAGCCTCCATGCGCCGCTTCACCCAGGCCGAGACCAACTGACATCCACCCCAGGCCACCCTGCAGAGGCAGAACAAAGCGCCCACCAGTGACGAGCCACCATCGGTCCACACCCATCTGCACCATCATCGTTCTAGGCTCGGTTGACCGGCCTCCCCAAGAAAGACTGGTGGCGGGGCACGGCGCTTGTCACCCCTCTGAGGCATAGTCAAGTCACCTAGCTAGGTCAGGCAAGTCGTCGTCGTGTTGACATTGGGACACCTGGTTGCTGTCGATGTTTGCAGCATCTTCGTGGTCTCTTCTCTTGCCTGCCAGTTCTAGTTCTGGCTCTGTCTCGTCAGAAATACTGCCTGCCTGTATATCCCGCGAAAACCCTCCCCTCCTTCCCACTTGCTCCCATGGTTCCTGCACTGTCCGGGGTGTGTATGATTAGCTGCTTTCTGTGATTTGGCAGCCTTGTTCGTCATCCTGGTCTGCTTTCCTCACTTCCCCTCCTCCAGACGAGCTCGATACTTTCCCACTTCTTTCTACATGCTCTGGCCTCTCCGTGGGCCTCGTCTGTTCTATCTTCTATTCGTCCCTTTTCCCTGCGAACCTGTCGTCACGTCTTCGTCCTGATTCGCAGCTCTTGTCGCTGCCGCACCTTCATCTGCTCATCGGTATTTTGTCGTTGTTGTGATGACAACCTGATGGGGGGAGCGGAAACATCACGACTCAGGGCCACCATCCGCCAAGGCAAGGCAAGACAAGAGACGGAGAGCGAGACGAGGCAAGCCAGCAGACAAGCAAGCAACTGAGCGATCAAGAGAAGGACAACGGGCACCATCGACTTACGACAGCCCCAACAATGCATTGAAACGATCGCAGATCTGCGCATTGGTCAAAATTCACCCCCTCCCCCATTCCTCCCCCAAGCACCACCACCTTCGACGACGACCCACGATGCCGTCGCATCCATGGCAGCAAGCCGCAGCCGTCACCAGTGATGCAGCCACCCGGGTGACGGCGCTGCTTGCCGTCGTCGCTCTTCTGCCGGCCGTCGCCTCGGCCGCCCAGACGCTTCCCTACGTACCCACGACCGTGCTCCTGCCAGATCGAACCTCATCCAACGGCAGCGACATCGCCTACATTTTTCGCCCCTCCTCTTCATCTACCGACGGCAAGACGCATGTCGACCTCCTGTCAGTCAATATCTCAGCCACAGTCGATGGCGACACCAGTATTGAAACCATTTCCTCCGACCTGCCCTTTTTGCGCAACGCCAAGGACACGACAGCCTTCCTGCCGACTGTGGCCGACAATGGCACCATTATCGTGCAGGCCGGCGACTGCGCCGCTGCCGGCGGTTTCGACGTCTGGACCTACACACCCGCAGACATGGCCTCCGATTCGAGTGACGGGTCCTGGGAAAAGGCTGCCGCTAACACCGCCCGCGATACGAACGACAGCAACGACGATGAAGCCCAGCCCAACCCACACTTTCTCGGCGCCGCCATCAGCTACTCCTCAGTTCTGGCCCCCGTCATGTCTGAACCCATTCTTTACTCCTATGGCGGCATGTGCTCGACACCCTCCGAGGACGCACCATCTTGGCAGTCGGCCGCCAACTACTCGAAGCAGATGGTCCGCGTCGCACGAGACAGCGCCAGCGAAAGCGAGCTGAGCTACACAGCATCGCTCATCACCTCCAAGGGCCCAGCCTTCCCCGAGGCCGGCTTCTCACTGACCCCCCTGAGCCCTTCCATCACCAACAGATCCGACACCATCACCCAGCAGCGTAGTTACGTTTTACTCGGCGGCCATACCGAGACGGCCTTTATCAACATGAGCACTGCCGCAATCTGGAATCTGCCGGCCGAGTCGTGGTCTTTCCTCTCTATCAACGGGCCCGATGGTGGTCTTCCCGGGTCCGAGCTCGCCGTCAAGGGCGTCTCGAGGAGAGCCACGCCATCGTCCGTCGACAGTCGATCAGGCCACACAGCCGTGCTCAACGAAGCGGGCGACGCCCTCGTCGTCCTTGGTGGCTGGGTTGGCACCGTCGCCCACGCCGCCGATCCGCAGCTCGCCGTGCTGAGGATGGGCAACTCGTATGGCGAGTGGGCGTGGGAGATACCAGATGACCAGCCGCAGGGGTCGGGTGTCTACGGCCACGGCGCCGTCCTGCTGCCCGGCAATGTTATGATGACCTATGGCGGGCTTGAAATATCTGGGTCACCCAGCAAGGTCAAGAGACAGCAGAGCAGCGGCTCGCCTCGGTTTCTCAACCTGACCTCCTTGTCCTGGGGATCAAGCTACACGAACCCGTCATCAAGCTCGAGCACGGGAGGGAATGGTTCGGGAGCTTCAGAAGGGAGCTCCAAGAATGACAACAAAAACGAGACTATGAAAAAAGTAGGCCTCGGTGTCGGTCTCGGCGTCGGCCTCCTCGCTGTCATTGGTGCCATTGTCGTGTGGTTCTGCTACCGAAAGCGGATCAAGAAGCAAAGACAGGATCGCGATCGAGCGGTGCAGGGTCTGGCGCAGGATGCTGCGCGCTTTCTGCACGCTGATGATGAGATGGTTGAGCGAGACGATCCATGGTCGTCCAACTCGTGGTACACGGGCGGACACGACCCCTACGACCAAGGCTCGAGGTCTCTCGGATACGAGACGTTGAGGAACAATCGCAGCTCACTCGGAGGCTACGGCGGCAACGCGCCCGCCGGCCTGCTCATCCCGAGAAAACCTGTCATATCCAAGACCGCAAGGGGCGCCTATCAGCCCACCGCCTCGCGCCCCGGCAATTTGCCGACGGCGGGCCACATTCATCCGATCTACGAGGCCGATGAAGAAGCCCCCGACGGCCCTGTTCTCATGCGAGACCCGGATATGGGACCCGAGACACCGACATCGCAAACGTATTCCGATCCTTTTGCCACACCGAGACACTCAGGCATGGAAGCATCTACATCCGCCACGGCTGGGCCCATCGCCTTCCTGCCGCCCAATCGAGCCGCTCTCACGCCGAGCCCCGACCGAAACCATCAGCGGGGCTTTGTCGATCCGGAGGTCCAGGACTGGCAGTCGGACGTCGATGCCGCCGAGGCCCTCTTCGCGCAGATGCCTCCCCGCGCAGGTCGTGGCTCGCCGACACGCCGCGCCTCGATGCGCTCTGCCCGGTCCGGCACTACCGGGCCCGATGACGAGCGCACGGGCAGCGGCCTCTCTGACTCGAACCGAAGTACGTTCAGCAGCCTTCTGTCGCGGTCCGGATCAGCCGCTGGCACGGCACGATCCTACACACCTTATCGCGCATCACCGACTCACACGGGCACGCTGCTCTCGGCCGGCGGCGCCACCAACAATGATGGCCGTCTCGGCACGTCGGGTTCAGGCTCAGGTTCAAGCTCAAGCAACAGCGCCCACACATTCTCCACGGCCAAGAGCAACTTCACCTCGCTGCAGGCTGAGGGCCCCTCGCTGCTTCTTCGCGGCGAGAGGTCCAGCCCCACACGAGAGCAGCACTATCAGGGCGGCCACACGCGCGGCTCGAGTTACCCCCATCACGGCGACGACGATGACGAAGAAGACAACTTCATCGTCCCCGGCAGCCCCAGCAAGAGCAAGCCCCGCCGCGGCAAGGGCTGGCTCGGCAGCTTGCGGCGCGTCTTCAGCGTCTCGGGCGGTGGCAGCCCCGCCGACAGCAGCGTCGGCAGCATTTCGCCGGCGCGGCGGTCATCACTCGACGGCCGCGACGAGCTCGCGTCCACGGCATATGAATCACGACTCGGACTCAGCGGCATCGGCGGCGCCGAGCTGCTGAGGCGGAAGCAAGGTCGTAGCGGCTGGCAAGACGGCGAGGGAGTGAATAACGCCGGCGGTAGCGGTGCCCGTGGCGGTGACGAGGGCCCGCCGCCGGGCATGAGTGAGGAGGATTGGGACATCGAGAGGGCCATTGAGAAGAGGCTCGTGCAGTTCATGTTCACCGTGCCCAAAGAGCGGCTGAGGGTCGTCAATGGCGACGAGGCGAGCATCGACGATGGGGCCTCGGCTGTGGACCCGGAAAAGGTCGGACTCGCGTTGTCACCTTCGCCCGAGGAGGCGGAGGCGGAGCCGGAGCGGGAGCGTCCAGATATCACCACCGGAGGATTCGACCCCAGGTCTGCGCCCTCGCCCGAGCCGTTGAGGATTCAGAAGAAGAAATCGGTGGAACCTGTCAAGGAGGTGGTGGACGAGAAGGCGGGGGCGCCTCCTGTGATGATCCCGCCACGGTCCTCTTCTTCCTCATCCATTTCAATCGCCGACGAGGACCTGTGGGCGCCGGCCCGGGGCCGCGAGCTCAGGGTCCCATCCGCGGCCAGCGAGCGTGAGCTGAAGCGCGTCTCGACGACCGAGTCGGGCATCAGCGAATCGGAGCCGCGACCAAGCCTGACGCTACGGACGGCCGAGGCGGTACGCATAGAGAGACCCAAGACGAGGGTGCTGAGGATGGTCGAGAGCTTTGAGGTGAAGAGCCGCGAGGGGAGCCCGAGTCCCACTCGGGGGTCGCCCTGATAAAGGAGGTACTGTCAGGGTAAGCGGCGGATGAAAACAAAGCTGGCATGCGCACGTTTGAGATGAGGAAGGAGGGGGGACATCTGATTTCGGGCTCGGGGACCGGCGCGAACACGGGTTTGAATGTGTCTGTGTCTTATTTTGCTAAATATGGGAAGCTGGGACAGCACGGGACTGGATGGTGTTTTCGGTCGGTCGCTTTCGGCTTTAAGCCTTGCGTGGAGTACATGTTTTTGGCTATTCGTAGTTTTGTATAGCTACCTAGGTAGAAATGTCTACTGATTGAGCTCGATTTGGCCTCCTTGCCGTATTCAGCGGTAGCTTTCTTCCCTTCCGATTGATGCACCCGTCTGTGCAAGGTATACCTACCTAGGTAGGTTGGTTTTTGTTGATGCCCCTGAATCGTGGCGGTGTCTGATGGACTGGCCGGTCTAGACTTTTCATGGAGGATTCTATGATAGAGGTCAACTAGACGGTATGAGGCTTTGTCTAGGCCGCCCTCGATGGAGTCCCTTTTTCTTCTTCCCCCCCCCCCCTTTTTTTTTTCTTTTTTAGCAAAATCTTTACATCAGTCCTCCTGTACACAATGCTCGGCCGTTCTTAGGACGGCCCCACCCACTCAACATCCGTGACAGTTTCGGCCGAATTGTCGGCGGACGACAGAGCTCCTCTCGCCGCCTGCAACAAGAGACCTGCCATACATTTGCCTTGCATTTCACTAGACATTCACAACAGCGTCATGTTCGGTTGCCTGTCACGCCCTCACTTGAAGGACCCCACTGAGCTAGCTACAACACAAGACGTCCGCGCGATTTGGACACCATGGTCAATCTTGCCGTTGTAGGAGGATCCGGCTACATGAATATCGTAACATCCACGGGACTCATCTGCTGATCTTTATCCAGACCCCGCTCGGGAGATTGTTGACGGTCCCTTGGCGACGAGAAAGGGTCTCTTCCTCGAGGGCAACGAAGACACTTGTGTCGCTCTCACGATTGTCAGCGACGTCGTCTGGCTCGTTCAGGGCTAAATCCAGTGTAGCGTCATGACAGTCCACCATCTCTTCGCCCTTGGCGAACGCCTCCGCGGGCCCTCCAGCGTTGAGAGTCTCCGAGCCGACTACCTGCAGGCTGGCTTCTCGAAGGGCTACTGGAAGATTGTGCCCAAGCATCCTGACATTGACCCCGCTAATATTGAAGCCTTTGGCACCGCTTTCGTCTCGAGTTTTCTGCTGACTCTGCCTTTGGGGACGCTGAGCGTTTTTGACGAGTGGCACGAGCTGTGCCCAAGGTCAAGTGTGCGGGGCTGGACGAGTTTCGGGCCGGGGTTGGCGTGGGAGGCCGTAGGTGTTTACGAAAAAGCGCTGCTAAGTGCCTCGATGGTTTACCTACTGTGAACTCTGCCGTCCGGCTTAACATGACGGGTATTGGGATGGGAGTGAGCCAAGCCAAGTTATCGTCCCCACAGTGGTCGGTGCATCGTGACTGTACAACAACCGAGCAGAAGAAGCAAAGCAACAAAGCAACAGGAGAAGCGAGTCTACCGACTCGATTCCATGCATTCGAGTGCGAGACAGATTCGTCCCCAGAATAGCAGCAATGCTAGTGAGAAAGGGGCAATGGTCATCATGAGCATTCAGGCGAACATTCACTTT